CCCGCCGCGCCCTGCCCCTGGCGCAGCTCGCCGGCGCCTGAGACGGCGCTGTGCACAAGCCCGCTGCTCGCTCCTCCCCCAAGCGTCCCGCGTCTGAGTTCGGCCGCCAGCCATGACCAGCTGGGCAAGCCGCACACCACACCCCTCCAGGGCACCCCCTCCCCTCCCGCCCTGCCCCCAGCACCATCGCACTGTGCCTCTCCAACTCCCCTGACACCCCCCCCCCAAATAAACTGCCCCAAACCCAAGGCCTCCAGCGCACCCACTCCAGTGAGTCATACTCCAGCCTCACGCTGGCGGTCAAGGCCATGACGCGGTTCGGCCCCTCCAGCCGCATCGGCCTGGACGCCCTCAACCACAGCGACAGCACACAGAAGCTCTACGCGGGTGAGCGCGGTGAAGGGAAAAACCGCAATAGCTACCAATGTGAACAGTCTTCGGTTTATGTTAGGAATGCAATCAATCTGTTACCTGGCCTCATGCCCAAAGGCTGTTTGAGCAAGACATTGGTTGTGCATAGTTACGTGCATCCAAGTCACAATGTATCCCTGAAGTAAGCAGTCTGGAAGGGTGTGGATTGCAGGCCCTTTTGAGCAGCGCTGCAAGTTGCTGTTGTGCAAATGCCTGGCTCCCAGCTTCCCCCTGGTTGCCATCGATCACTTCAACCCTGGACCATCCCTCACACCATAATAACTGCCAACAGGCAGCCCCTACCTGTCGAAGCTGGAGTCCATCGCCAGCGGGGCCGTCAGGGCGGCCGACAAGGTCAAGGCCTCCCTCATCGTGGTGTACACACACACAGGTGGGTCCCGCGGCGCGCCTGTGGGCGCGTCCGTGTGAGCAGAGGCGACGGGGTGCGAGCAGCGGCCTGAAGGTGGAGAGTCAAGAGGCCGGAGTGCACTGGGGCGGGGGCCCTTGAATGAGTGCCACCTGGCCAGCACTCATGCAAGTCTAGGTATTGAATGAATACCGAGGCGACTCACGCGTGTGGGGCTGGGACTCTTGGCTGCTTGCTCTGGACTGCTGACACTTGACAGCGTATTTCGCCCCTGACGTATTCCGCGCGACTGCGATCACAGGCAAGACGGCGCAGCTGGTGGCCAAGTACAGGTGTGTGGGAACGGTCCGGTGCTCGGCTGCAGGCAACTGCTGAGTGTGCATGTATGTATGTGGTCGTCAATGCAGGGCCTGGCTCGGTGGCATCGATCCCGTATCGCAGGGCCTTGGCAGGAGAGGGGGCGGGGACGGCATCGGTGAGCGGTACCAAGGGCTTTGCAGAGTCGATTGACGTTTGACCCTGACGCCAGCTGCTCCCCCCACCCTCAAAATTGAATCGCAGGCCGCCGATGCCCATCCTGACGCTGGTGGTGCCGCGCCTCGTGTCGGACTCGCTCAAGTGGCGCCTGGAGGGCAAGTGAGTGGCCATTCACCCGGCGCAAGCTGCCATCGCCAGAGCACACTTGGTTGACCGCGTCCCAATCCCCAAATGCAGCCCCTCCCAATCTCCAGCCCCGACTTGCGATTTGCCCAGCTTTGACGGCCAGCCATTAACTGCACCTTTGAAGTGTCTTCCACCTCTTCGCCAGACCCGCCCCTCTGCGCCCCGCCAACAACCCCCAACCCCGCTGCCGCCGATGCGCGCAGGCACAACGCGCGCCAGTGCCTGCTGACGCGCGGCCTGCTGCCCATGCTGGCCACGCCGCAGCCCAACGGGGACGCCATTTTGGAGGAGGCCATTGCCGTCGCGGCCGGGTGCGGGCCGCTCCCCACAGAACCCCTTCTGCAGCTCCTCCCCCCCTGCTATGCAACACTCCTGATGTACTCCGCCCTCCCACCACTGTCCGCCCTTGCACCTCGCGCCCCGACGCATCCAGTGGCCGGGCACTTCGAAAGTCTGCTTTGGAGGTTTTGAAATTGCAAGCGTCGTGCGCACTGTAGCGGGGCCTCCTGCCACCCTCCGTCTGCAAACCCTCGGCCACCCGCCCGCCGGCCTACCATGCGCCCGCCCGCCTGCACACGCGCAGGATGGGCATCGTGAAGGCGAACGACCACGTTGTGGCGGTGCAGCGCGTTCACGAGGACTTCTGCGTGAAGATCATCACCATCGACCCCAGGGGCCGCGGCATCAAGCCCATCATATTCACGGGTGAGGCCACGGCCCGGCGCGAACAAACCACAGCAGGGCCGCTTTGACGGGCGAGGAGGAGGGCGAGACCGGGGGCGGGCTGGGGGGGGGTTTGAAAAGAGAGCGGGGCTGAGGTTTGGCGGCTTCACGGAGTGGCGGTGGAGCGCAGGCGAAAAGGGGCGAGGGGCTTCGCATGCTGTTCAAGGCGCCGCCGGCGGTGTTTGAAGCGCCCCTGCAATCAGCGCCCCGCGGCAACGCGCCCTGGGCCCGTCGCGCCCCTCCGCGCCGCCCCCGCAGAGCTGCAGGAGCAGGCGCGCGCGGAGGCGTGGGGCGCGTCCCTCTCCTTTGTCTCCAGGCCGCCCGTCCTGTCGCCCTGATGCACGCCTCTGCCTCTGCCTGAGCCAGGGCCGGAACCTGGCCTCTTTCGCCGACGAGAAGAGGAGAGGTCTTCCGGGCTAGCCCCGGCCAGACCTGCGTGAGGGGCCGCTCGGTGCTGTGGGAGGGCGGCATGCACATGCAGGCCCAACCCCCCATGCGCACCGTCCCATCAGCCTCGTGCGTGGGGGCGGCTTGCATATTTGCCGTCACCAGCCGCTGGGTCGACGTCTGTGGGGACCTGATAGGCACTGCTCGCACATCTGGTGTTGGTCTGCTCGCGTGTGAAGAGGCTCTCTCAGGGCATGATGTCAATGCCTGCACGCACTTGCACTCTGTGCCTTGCAAGGGCTGCACCTTGCCACCCCAAATCCTTGCCAGCCACAACTGATGCTGGCCCGCCCCGGCTGCGGGGATGGGCTCTTGTACATGCACTCACCTTCAAGTTGCTCGCGAGCCTGGCACGGCCTGCAACAGCTGCACGTGCTGCGTCATGCCTGCACGCGCCAAGCACAGCCAGTGCAGGCCTCGCCGCTGGCGGTCCCGCACCCTTCCCGGCCCCATTATGTGGTTCAGTCGTCCTTCGGACAGTTGCTGGGCTTGCGACCTGGGTAGGGATGGCCCAAGCCCGCAGCTCTGCGCAACACATGTTTTTGGATCGCCCTTATGACAGTCAGCACACGTGTGCTGCCTGTGGTTGGTGGCGTGCGCCACTGAGTGGGTGTGATGCTCACCGCGGCCCCGCCAGCACTGCCTGTGCCGCTTGCAAGGGCGCGTGCCTTGAACCCGCCCCCGTTGCGGTTAAGCCTTGTCCTACAGATCGACACACATTTTTGCTGCGTTGCATGAGAGCACTTGCTTACTGACTGTACGGCAGCTTGCTTCCTGCATGTTGGGATTCCGCAGGTGGCTGGCCAGCCCTGTTTGCTGGTGGTGGTGGTCCGGATGAGCACGCGTATTTGTAAGCCGAACCAAGGGATGGGCGCACCGGCCAGCGGACAGTCGCAGGCGGATTCTGCCGAGGGGGCCCGCTAGACTGCGCCAGAGCTGCCGGCGCGTTGGCGGCCAAGCGAGTCGGCTGCCAGCACGCGCAGCTGTGGGAGCGCCGGCAACCGTGTTCTCCTACAATCCTGTTGTCCCTTCGCTGATGGCTGTCTTCAGCGATGGAGCTGGATGCAAGCTTGGCTGTGCCCTCAGATTTGCAGAGGGTATTGCAGCGCAGAACGCATGCAGCGTTCAGCTCTGCACAATCGAGCTCACCTGTCGCGCAGAGGGCGGCGGTTGGGGTGCGTTTGAATTCGAGGCACCTACGGTAGGACCCAGCATTGACCTGATTCAGGCGCTGCTGCAGCAGCCGAACCGCGCACCATTGAATACATTGTCAGTGTTTACCTCAGCATGTGAACGTCAATACCATCGCGTTTCCGAAAGATCACGCGCGTTTTTAGCACCGACCCTGACCTTACCCCGCGCGCAGCGTACACGACGTTGATGGAGTGGTTGGATAATATTATCAAGTCCGCGGCAGATGCACTGGGCCTCTCCAAGCCCCCAGAGGAGGCGGTTGCGCCGCTCGACGACGCCGACGTAGCGCCCCTGGTGGACGCGCCCGTGGAGGACCTGTATGCGGTCAAACGTGCTGTGATCGCTTGCATCGCGGGCGACGGCCCGCTGGCCGTGCCGCCAGACCCCGTGGCGGCAGCGGCGCCGGCGCCGTTGGTGCAGCGCACACTTCAAGGGGTCGACGCGGTGAGGAGACGACAGCGAGAAGCCTTGGCCCCTTGGCCGTGGCACAGGGTGGACACGTGCCATTTGTACATTGACCAGCCCATTTGACAGGACGCTGGTGCATTTTTAGTGCGAACCAACGCAGCCCCCACACGGATCCCCTCCCCCCTGGATACCCAGTTTCACAAGGTATCCATCCCCTGCTCAATCCCAC